CCCTGGGCGCTCTAGTCAGTGGAAAAAACAAATAGGTTCTGAAGCGGTTTGGCAAGTTGAACCAACTCCGAACCAACTTTGAACCAGCACCAGTTCCGAACCATTTTTTTTTTGGTGGAAAAGGGGTACCAGTGGTCCTATTGCCATTTGCAGAAATACAACGCTCCCGTCAGAAACAACCAATCAGAGCCAGGAGGAATGTCTTAGCAGTGTCAGTCACGTTCGTGTATGCGCTGATCACACCCCTCTCTTGCACAGCGCGAGCACATACCGTCGTTCAAACTCAAGATTGCCGGCGAGCTGCAGTTGTGCTTATGACGGAGAAGTACCCTAACTGCCAATTCTCGAGGGACACCTGCTTATAAAACAGAGAAGTAAAAGGGGAAAAGACAGATGACGATAAACAATCTTGTCTAAATTTGTCAGCCCATTGTAGCCGCATAACATGTTGATAAAATGTCACACACTCTGCTGCTAAGCAACAATTGAAACCAAGCGTGCCGCACAAGCCCTCAAAAGTGAAGCCAAAACGTCTCGATTGCACCCCTGTGACCGGACCTAGTATAGCTCTTAACCCCCGCCTCCCCATGTTATTCAATGGGACACGAGACCAACTAAACAATTAAATTACACTTTACATATCCTTTTTCCAAAGATAGTTTATGTCATTTACTGTAGTTTCTATCACGTTGATGTAATTTCAAGTGTTCGTTTTTAAAATAAGTTTGTTTTTAGTTAGTTATGTGATGATAAAAACGGTGCTCTGACATCATGATTGACAGCTGTGATTGACAGGTTCTCTGTGCGAGGTAGTTACTGAAGCACCAGCGGACTTTTTTTAATAATGTTGATTATGTGGTTAGTAGTTGTATTTACCTTATTTTAACGAGGTTCTGCAATCAGCAGACATCATTGGAGAAGAACGAAGCAGACAGAGGACACTTAATGAAAGTGCGGGGCGTGTGCTTGCGTTTGATTCAGCGAGAATGAGGGCACGGCCTTGATTTCGCGGCTTTACTTCCTGCTCACGACTGCGCATGACTGGTCCCGAAACACGCAAGTGCGCAGACTCAAGTTCCAAGATGTCAGCGTCATATCGAGACACTGGTGGCTTCAGTTCTCTCTGATGGAAAAGAGTGAAGTGGCGTTGTCCATCATTTTTTTTTACAGTCTTACTAGCTATTTACAACTTATAGAAAGAGTGCAACATAAAGTTACATGTATTGCAAAATACATAAGGATTTGAGGACCAAGTTTGTAGTCAAAGTATGGGCAGGCCATAGTCAATGTAAAGCATATTGTTGACGTTTAGTCCCTATCAGTGAATGTGCCATAACTGTTTATCCGCCGTCATCGGTGGCCCTGTTTACTAGCCTGCGCATTCACGACCGGCTCTGCTGTGGGGGACCATAGACATATACACTAGACATCACCTTGGGGTTCTAAGCATGCGTCAAAACCGCCGCCATCTTGGAACAGGGGTCTTGTCATAGGAAGTAGCTAGGTAACGCTGCTATCTCTGCCTTTACTTCGAATTCATTGATGGTGGCGGACTTTTGTGCAGCGTATGATGTTCACGAATGAAATCTAAACTAGGAAGAATGTTTAAAAAAAAAAAATTCTTTCTGGAATCAAGGATAAATATGTCTGACCGTTGGAACAAACCAAAAAAACAATAAAAATCGCATTCATGATGATTTATGGTGATTTTATTTCCGTTAGACCTGTGTCTACTACATTGATGCTGATGCATTAAAGTGGAGGGGCTCCCCTGTTTCAAGATGGCGGCTCTATTGACGCATTCGTTCCAATGAACTGCCGTAGCCAAGGTGAGGTCTAGTGATGTCTATGGTGGGGGGCTAGCTGTGGAGGGAGGGCTGTAGCGCAGTAGAGCAGAGAGCAAGGGGGTGGGACCTGTAGTGCTTGTTCAAATTTTCAAACTAAGTCAACGTTTTCTCAAAACTCCCTACTGCAGCTTTAATATAAGGATTCATAAGGGTAGGGGAATATGTAGCGTAACAGCTGGATTTAGTGGGCCCCCTGATTACAGCTTTTAAATGGTTAATTCACCAAAAATGAAAATTATCTAGCCCCCATAGGTGTGTATGACATTCTTCTTTCAGCCAAACACAACACTCAGGGTTATATTACAAAATATCCTGGCTCTTCCAAGCTTTATAATTAATTAATAAATTAACAATGGGACAACAAGTAAGTGGAAAAAAAATGTAGAACAGTATGCAATTTGTATATCCATATTAATCTATATTAATAACTTTGTAAACTATAATCACTTGGTTCAAAGAATGTTTGTTATCATTACTTAATTTTTGTAATAAAAACAAGACTATTATAATGACAATAAAACAAGACTATCCACACTTATCTTTTAATTTTACAGTACTATAATTTTTGCTCTCAAATGTTTTTGAATGAATAAAAAAGACACAAAACTAAATCTATATAATATTAAAAAAAAATCCCCACTGCAACCAAACATTATTACCGCACGTTATGGATGAGACTTTTATTTTGATAGGCGGTATGACCTAATAAAGCTGCGCTGCGCTCCCTGCATCAGTTGTGATTCGGATAAAGAAGGTTTGTGTTTAAAGCATTTTAGGTGTTTACATAGATATTAACGGTTCAGTATATGTAAAATCTTTACAAGAGATGGAAAGCGAATTAGTTTTATTGAATATAACATTGTAATGCTTTATCTTACATTAATGAACGGGATTCTTTTTTCAGTAAAGCGTATCCCCACGTTACAGAAGATGCGTCTAATTTCTCTCCATATCGTGAATCACTTTAGTCAATCATAAACACGAATTCGGTCACTGGCAAGTTGTGATGGACAAACGGAGATTTTGAAACTCCAAGTCATGTAGGCTATTGGGAAAAGCGCTTTCAAATATTTGTGAATTGAACCAAAACCGAACCAAATGATTCCCAAAATGATTCAGTGATTTGAATCCCTCGATTCACCACACAAGCACTACATACATCATACATGTGTAATGACGACTTTAATAAACAACTGCAAATGTTTTCATTAAAATGCAGCTTATTAAATATAATAAATGAAAGAAAGAAACCTTCAATGTCTAATGAACCTTATAATTTGTGTTAGTAGTGCTAGTTTTGAGTGTTCTTATCTAATAAGACCATGAACTCTCTCTCTGTCTGACTGACTCTTACCAGTGCACTGAACTACTGAATTTGAGCTGATTGAGACAGAGATTTAGTGTGTGGATCTATTTTTCTTTCTGTTAATTATATTTTTTTTTTATCTCCATCATGACAGAGTGTGCCAAACCCACAGAATAACTGGTGAAGCGACTGAGATACGCAAGACACAAAGATGGCGTCTATCAAAGAGGAGAGTGAAGAAATTAAGATTGAAGAAACGTTTAGAGTGAAATATGAAGATACTGAGGAACAAACAGGTTGGTTTCATTCTCAAAACTGAACTCATTCATTTGAGTCATTTAAAATGTCCAGCTCTGCAGAAATGAATATTTTTAGGGATGCACCAATGCGAAAATTTTGTTAGTAGAGGAATCCAAGTAATTCTTTCCTTTTTTCATAAGGCTACACCCTTCTTGCTTTGCACTTTGTGCATGTGTATTGAATGTTAAATAAATGAATAATGATAATAAGACTGTTTGTCATGGTGGCTCCGTGGATTTGCACTTAACAAGCCTAAACAGACCGTGAATGAGAGATAGATCAACTGAGCGTGTGCGATTACCTGCATCTGTCCTTCAGGTCTTATATTCATAAAAAAATAATAATAATAAGATCGCCATGTCCAAGGAACGCAAAATCTTTGTCCTGTCATCCCTTTAACATTGTTTAAAGAATGGCATAAGCGCTGTCAATGCTTTAAATCAATTTTGATATCTATGAAGTGAAGCACCTGTCTCAGCGTTACTCGTACGGTGCATTGCTGCTTTTAATTATTTAAAAAAAAACATATTCTGCCAGTGGTCAAAACGATCTGCTTGTCTTTTGGTTAGCTTGTAATAATGATTTTAATTCCAGTGTTACTGGTGGGTTTCCGTGAGAAATTCGAGCATGTCTTTGCGTCTTTACGTCACACACGTACACATAAAGGAGGAATTTCGGCTAGCTGGCTATACTGCGCGTGAGGAGATGTAGAGATATAGGCTTTTCTCTGTGCACTTTACATTATACTTATGGCATCCAGAAAGATCCAAACAACAATCATCAGTGTCAACTGGAGATTCAGCAGTTATAAAACACAAAAGACTTCGTACTTCGGATTTAAGGTGTCTAGAGAAAGAGAAAGAAACCATCTCATGCGAACACAAGGATTTAAACATCGGCGGGGCTTTTGTAAAGTGCGTGAAAGGACAACTCCGGCGCAAAATGAACCTTTGGTCTAATTACATATTGCTACCTAGTCAACCGTTATCTGAGATTTGTTTTCATGATTGCCGAATGTAAATTGTTTTATCTCTTAAAACAGTTTAGCCTATAACGCTAGTATAATGCTAGTATATAGGGCATAGAGTAATGACAAATAAAAATCGCTTGTTATTGCCACTAACAAGGCTCAAAATAGCCCCACACCAACACGACAGCATAACAAGGGTCCCTACATTCAAACCGAAGCATTGAGAACTTTGTCAGTGTCCATACAGTTTAATAAGAAGATATTTTATACACACAGTCAACTTCGCGAATACAGGAAGAAGCCATCTTTGAAAAATAGTCTCTACCAGTCGATCTACGAACACTGATCCATGTGCGGTGGTGAGATGTGAATAAGGTGATAAAGTGAGCGCGAACAGTAGGCTACGTGTACATATTGAAGAGAAGAAAACGGTACGTGTTTGTGTTTCTTCCGGAAACAACGGACCATATGAGATTCTGCACAGTTCAGCGCACTTGGATCAGCGTTAGTAGATCGACTGGTAGAGACTATTTTTCAAAGATGGCTTCTTCCTGTATTCGCGAAGTTGACTGTGTGTATAAAATATCTTCTTATTAAACTGTTTGGACACTGACAAAGCTCTCAATGGTTCGGTTTGAATGTAGGAAGAACCCTTATTATGCTATCGTGTTACTGTGGGGCTATTTTGAGCCTTGTTAGTGGTAATAACAAGCGATTTTTATTTGTCATTACTCTATGCCCTATATACTAGCATTATACTAGCGTTATAGGCTAAACTGTTTTTAGAGATAAAACAATTTACATTCGGCAATCATGAAAACAAATCTCAGAGAACGGTTGACTAGGTAGCAATATGTAATTAGACCAAAGGTTCATTTTGCGCCGGAGTTGTCCTTTAACTCCGTGCTTTGAAGGCGTTCAAAACGGAAGAAGAGATGGCTTTTTTCTGCTGAACAAGTAAGACATTTCAATTGTTCAATAGTGTAACAGTACGTTTTCTTAATTCACACAGTTATGGAGTTTCCTTTGTTGTGCCTTTCTTGTTTTGCTATTATGGAGAATATGAATTCTGAACTACACAGGTAACCATAAAACACAATAGTCACACAATGCTGATGTTGTTAACATGAACAATTTGAGAACAAACTAGGCTATTATTTGCACGGTTGCTGTAAATCGCGTTGATTAATTCTAAAACAAAGCTTATCATATCGAATGCTTTTTCCCCCTTAGTTGATCAGAACAAAAGTGGATGTTACTTGACATTTTCCGGTGAAAATTCTTATGTTTGTCAAACTTTCAAAAAGTGAATCTGTGATTCTGTATGAGAGTATCCACACAGCGCGGTGACTGACAGCAGCACTCGCCTCAAAACACTGTGTGTTCATCCGCGCTGTTTCATGCTGATTTACAACCCACGTAAAGATGATAATTCCGCGAATAACTGCAATTGCAGATTTCGAACAGAGATGGTGACAAAGAGGAAAAGCTGCGGACTGCAGCTTTAATAATGCAACAGTATCTAATAGGGGTGTAACGGTACATGTATTCGTATTGAACCGTTTCGGTTCGAGGCTTCCGGTTCGGTACGCGTACAAACCGAACGATTGCTTGGACCATTTTTCCTGCCGGCAAAATTCGTGCTGACGCGGCCAACACAACGTTGCGCAACATCAAATGGCAAGCGTAATGAAAGCAGAACGAAACTGCGCTACTCGTTAGTGCTTCACGGATCGTTTATCAGTTCGGACCAGCAACATCTGTGCAGCGCGAGCCGATCTCGATCAAGCAACACTGTTACCACACCGCGCTAAGAGATGCGGTAAAGAAAACATTTGAATTCGCCACTGAGGTAATAACATCGCTGCGAGATCTAGTGAGATGCATTCACATTTCTCCGTTATTAACCGTAGATCTCTATTAGATCAAACAGCGCTGTCATGGAAACCAGGAGAAACATTGAGCCGTGAATGAACTAGTAATACTTTCGTCCACAGACCAGCAACATTCACCATGGATTTAATATAGTAACACTAACTGGAACCAGTTTGGCTGGAATGGTGAAATGCTTTCAAGTACTTCACACATCTTTTTCCAGCACTTCAAAATTCAAATATTATATAAATATATATTTAAATGTTATTTTTAATGTGATGACCAAAACATTATTTGTTCATTCTTCAAAGATGACCCCCATTTATAAACCTGAAAGTTTCAAGATCTAGGAAAACTCACACTTATTTAAAAATATTTTTTCTTTAAACAAATAGGAAATTTCTCTGGCATTTCTTTCTTTTTGCTGTATCGAAAACGTACCGAACCGTGACTTTAAAACCGAGGTACGTACCGAACCGTGATTTTGTGTACCGTTACACCCCTAGTATCTAACAAAAAAACATTTAGTTTGTATTAAGCAAATCATGAAATGTGATTAACTTAACATTTTTTGTCTGTACGATTTTTTCCTTGGTCAAGATCAGTATTGACTTTTTTATACTAAACTTTTTTATTGAACAACCTGGACTTTTTTTTTTTTTTTCTTAGACTTGGCTCTGGACAAATGACCAATATCAAAACTACAGACTGCCAAGACTTTTTATTCTATGTGGTCTCAATTTCTGATAATCTGTTGATTCTTGGTGATTTTAATAGATGTTGTCCTTCAAAAGCTTCTCCTAAGAGATTTTGTACAACTTTTAGACTTTTAATTTTACTCAACATGTCCTACACAAGCTAGGTCACACACTTGATCTAGTTTCATCATTAGGGTTTTCCGTTACTATACATAATTATAATCCATACAATATAAATATAAAAAATAATTAGTTGCATAAGAGGCAATTTGCCTCCAAACTTGTCGCTATAAACTGCTAAAATTTGGAGCAAGAGATACAGGGGGAAGAGATACAGGGGCAGGTCCAAACTAGACCTGATTGGTCCAGTTTGGGTTTGTGATCTCTAATCCAGAATAAAACGTGCTCCAGAGCAGGTTAGCCGTGCAGCGCAAGTTACCATGGAGATGAACAACGTTAAAAACCAATCCACCTTCTTGAGTTTAGTAGCTGAATACAGGGAATATGGCAAACTCTTATTTATTTATTAAAGTTTACTACATATTAGATGGACTTTATTTCCATTGGGTGAAAAAATGCAGTGTTAATGCAACTTTACACAAAATGTGTGACTTTTTAACATTTCCAGGCAAAGATATAACTAAGTTATGCACATTGGGAAAACATGTCTCAAATGCATTAAACAACAACATATCTCTCAAAAAAAAGACTATAGTGGGCATTATTCACTACCGTAAAGTGACGTGACTGGCAGATGTTTTCCATGCACAGTGTGCTTCCGCTGACCTGGTTCAGTGATAATCAAATTCTTTTTTTTTTGTATTACTTTTGTTTCAGTTTTTTTGAGTAGTTGATGCAGCCTTAATATCAACAATGCATTATTTTTTTTTAGGTTGTGAGTAAATAAAAACTATCATTGGCATTACAGTAAATAATAATGTTAAGCTTAAACATGGTTAAAAGCAGAGGACCTAATACTGAGCCCTGTGGCATACCATACTTGTGTTTGATGAGATGTCTCTTCATTTACACCAAGTGGTTGTGGTAAACCTTGCTGGTCCACAACATAATTCTCAAGCCATCCAAGAGAATGTTGTGTTCTATGTTGTCGAAAGATTAAGTAGCACTTGATTTGGGCATGTTTTTGCAGCTACATCTCTCGTCAAGTCATCTGGAACTTCAAATTATGGTTTAAAAGCATGTTACAATAATAATTATGATTGCAGCTGGTAAACTATTGACCAGTACAAGAAAGATGGACAGAACATTTCTTCAATGTTGTGTTTGTATTGTGTCTTTGTTTGGTTTTCTTGATTGAGTTGTACATTGGGCTGCACTTGAGGCAGTATTAAAGTGCTTCATAAAAAAATAAACTAAACTAATAAGGGGTATGATAACTGCCAGCATTTTTGGACGACAGGTGTTTTTGACGTGTCCTAAAGAAAGTGAAGTTAACTATTGAGAAGAGGTTCTGAGATTAAATGAAATGCCTTTTTTAGTAGGTTTTGATGTTTGTTTCTTTGTACCATTAAACTGGTGTTAACTTATATTTGTTTTGTTTTTTTGTTTGTTTTTTCGCTTTAGACCTGAAAGAGATGGCACTGAAAGAGGAGAGTCCAGAACTGAATGAGATGGAGGGGAAAGATCCGTATGAAAATCATCATGATTTCATGGCTGGAGAAAAATCTACAGAGACTGAAAAGACATCATCACGAAAAAGTTGTCGTAACAAGTGTTTCACCTGCCATCACTGTGGAAAGAGTTTCAATCATCTTGGAAACCTCAACGTTCACATGAGAGTTCACACTGGAGAGAAGCCTTTCACCTGCCAACAGTGTGGAAAGAGTTTCAATCAAAAACAAAACCTTAAAGTCCACATGAGGCTTCACACCGGAGTCACCTCTTTCACATGCCAACAGTGTGGAAAGAGTTTTAGTCAAAAAGGAAACCTTACAGTCCATATGAGAATTCACACCGGAGAGAAGCCTTACACCTGCAAACATTGCGGAAAGAGTTTCACATATAAAAACTACTATAATTCCCACGTGAGCAATCACACTGGAGAGAAGCCGTACACATGTGATCAGTGTGGAAAGAGTTTCACACATAAAGCATCTTTTAATTACCACATGAAGATTCATTCAAGAGAGGATTGTTTTGTATGTCACCACTGTGGAAAGAGTTTCACCTATAAAATAAGCCTTAAGAATCACATGAGAGTTCACACTGGAGAAAAGCCTTATTCATGCACTCAATGCGGAAGGAGTTTCACATATAAAGCCTCTTTTGACTCTCACTTGAGAAGTCACTCAGGAGAGAGGCCTTACACGTGCAACATGTGTGGGAAAGGCTTCCCACAAAAAGGAAACCTTCAGACTCACATGAGAATTCACACTGGAGAGAGGCCGTTCAAGTGTCTTCAGTGCAAAAAGAGCTTCAGATATCAAAGAGATTTGAAAAATCATTTGCAGACTCATTGTGTAAAGAAATTGGAGGGTGGTAAGAAGGTTAAAAAAAGGAGCCATTTTAAAATCACCGGCGCACACACCCTGGAGGAAGACAATTTAATTGTGATCAGTGTAATAAAAAATTTATTTTGCCATTACACTTAGAGATACACATGAAAAGTCATGCAGATGTGAGAACTTATTCATGTTCTTTGTGTGGAAAGTGTTTCAAATGGCTTAGCCATTTAAAATGGCACCAGAAAACACGTCTCTGTGTGAAGTCAAGGCTACGCTCAATGTGGACCAAATCTGTCTGTCCACCTTCATGACACTACTTTTGTTAGCATTCTTCACCTTGGGGTTTTTCATTTTATTTCGTCAAGTACAAATGATCACTCGTGGGCCCACCTGGCTTTCTCCTTTGCTATAGTTTCAAATATTGAGAGTGGTATTTGCGGGAAATGCCCTCTAATTTCGATTGTATGGAGACGTCACTGCATTCAAAATATTGATACCTCTGAATCAGAAAATTAGTTGATCTTCTTTCTTGCTGTGAAATTACACAATGTGAATAAAAGTTTGTAAAAAAAAAGGGACAGAAACTGAATGAAATAATTACCTTACTTGATTCTTCTTTAGTGAGAAAACACAAGTGTTGTCAAGCTGTCCCGATATCAGATTTTACTGTAACAATATTTCCCAATACCTATAGAAACCTTGAAAGAAAATAGGATCACTCAAATTTATCTTTACTACTATTTTTTTTTTGCCAATTAATCACACCATTACATGCCAAAATGTCAAGAATTGAGATTCTGGCTTCTTTAACTCTAAGCTTGCTGCTCAAACATTCAAATACTTTGCATTCATTGCTGTTAGTCTGTAGCATGCTTTGAGAAATCAACATTGAAGATAAGATAATTATCTCTTATTCTACATCTCTGCACATATTATGTGGTCTGGTAATTAATTCCTAAATTGAGCAATCTTTACAAGTTTTAATCTAGATTAAATGGTTAGCTGCATAAAAATAATGACACCTCATTTATAAGGGTAATGTTTCATATGCTTAACATGTTATTCATTAGTTGCACCCAGTGTGCTTGAGCTAGAACACATGAAATATCTGAACTAGCTAGGTTTGTTTAGTGTCACATTTGACTGCATGTTAAAAATATGGCCAAGTCAAAAGAATGGTCCAAAACGTTTCCCTTCACAAGGAACAATGTTCCTAAAGACACCGCTGGAAGCATACTTTGCAAGTTCAAAGTTAAAGAAACAGTGGTTTCATTTAATAATCTGTTATTATTATTGTTGTATAGTTATACAGAATGGGTTCCATTAACTGCAATATGATTTTTGGTTTTATGATGTATCCCAACAAACAAGTAGGACAGTTACATTTTACACTGCGGTTGGCTACTTATAATGGCTTCAGTCAACCGCAAAAGTGCAGAAAAGGTTGTGTGTGACTGTGGACTGCATTTCAGAGACTGAACAGGTTTTTTTTTGTGTATTAAAGTGAAACAGGTCATAACATGAGCTTTTTTTTTTTTTTTTTTAAATCTGTTATATTACTAACAATATTTAATGTGGTTTATCTGAAGGAAACGTCATAATTGATGATGAGCCCCATTTACTCTTGCCTACTTGTTCAGTTCTCATTACATTTAATTCAAAAGTAGTTGTGTTTAATGTTTTTAAGATGTGAATCTGTCAAAAAAATAACTTTGAAGGAGCAGGTTTCCAGGTGCACTAGAAGCAAGGTTATTGTTTAGCTGGCTTTGTGTTTTCAACATGACTTTACATCTTCCAAAAATGATCATTTCTTTCTGTAGCTGGACATTTTAATATGGAGTTCAGCTTTTGAGAATGAAACCAACCTGTTTGTTCCTCAGCATCTTCTTGTTTTACTCTGAATGTTTTGTCCAATCTTCATGTCTTCAATTTCCTCTTTAATAAACGCATCTTTATAAGTGTGTCACGTGGATCTCAGTTTCTTCACCAGGAGTTTTTCTGTGTTTGGACACTCTTGTTATGATTAGGATGAGAATAATTAACAGAAAGAAAAACAAATACAAATCACTGAGTGTCTCAATGGTCCGTGTATCTGCTGGAACAGTTTGATTTAAGTAATAACCTGGTAGGCCAGGACGCATAGAGTGAGAGTGAATGGACATTTTTCTGAGAAAGTCTGTTCATCAATAGGCTCTCCACAAGCATGTGTACCTTTGCTTTTTATCCTGTATACAAACATGTGCCAGAGTAGGTGGGAAAACAGGACTATAATTAAATACGCAGATGATTCAGTAATTGTCAGCCTGCTCCAAGATAGGGAAACAGGCCATGGTCCAGTCATTGATGATTTTGTTGAATGGTGTGAGGCATCTCACCTTCAACTAAATGTAGTTAAACAAACAAAGGATATGCTTATTGATTTTAGAAAGAAAAAAAACTATACACAGGAAATTACATCAATCAATGGTCAAACTGTTGAATGTGTCACTTCATATAAATACCTGGGGATGATAATAGACCACAAACTCACATTCGAAAGTAACTGTTTAGTGGTGTGTAAAAAACTGCATCAGCGCCTGTCTTGTTTGAGGAAATTGAGCAAATTCCAGGTTGACAAATCTATCATGACCCTATTTTATCATGCGTTTATTGAGTCAGTTCTATCATTTGCACTAGCAGCCTGGTTTGGGAATCTCACTTTGAAAAATAAAAACTCACTCAACCAAGTAGTAAAGTGGTCAAGTAGGCTGATTGGTGAGCAACAGCCTAACGTGGAGACCTTATACACAAAACAGGTACAGCGCATAACTAGATCAATTTTATACGACAGTTCTCATGCACTGCACACACAGTTCCAGCTTTTGATCATTTGATTTCCTGTTTGGAATGGAATAATGAGAAATGAAAACCAGCTCGTTTATTCGTTTTTTTGTTTAGTTTAAAAAACGAAAAATTAAGATTTTGGCTTGATGTTTGATTTTTCGTTTGTGGTTTACAAATCGGTTTATGGATTCGATATTTAATTTGCACACGTGGGCGGCGCTGAAACACCCCTTTCATCTGATTGGTCAAACCGCTCCGCCTTCATTACAAGCTTTTCTTTCTGTCAGGCAGAATAAGAATAACAAATGCACTTTAATAAAATAATGTCTGAAACCACCACTCACTGTTAAGTGAGTTGGTAAACGAGCTGGTTTTCATTTCTCATTATTCCATTCCAAACAGGAAATCAAATGATGAAAAGATACATGGACCCTCAATCAGCTCTAGTTCAATAGTCCTTGTTAGAGGACTACTTATAAAAGTCAGACAGAGTGAGAGTTAATGGACCTAAAGGCACACTATGCAAGATTTAAACCTTAAAGGTCCCCTGACATAGGTTTTTTTTTATTATTCTATAATTTTTCCTGGGTTGCCCTTATAATGTTAGTATGTTTTTTAGATCAAAAATAGTCATAATTTAGAACTAAAAGGCATTTTTCCTAGCCTGATTTTAGCTTCTACTTTTAAGGGGCGTGTCTGCTGTGGGATTCAATGTAACCGCACACTGCTGTGATTGGCTGACATGCTTGCATACGAAATAGCTACATATTACTTGTGAAACTCTCTTGAAAACGTTTTACTACAGCTATTATACGTTTTTACTATTACAGATATCGAGATTACTGAATCGTGAGAAGTTTTTGAAGTATTTAGATTCTCATCACATAAAATATTGCTGTGATGAGCAGCAGATGACAGTCTGTCGATCGGGAGAATGAAGATCTTATCGTTGTAATGCAGTTTCTGCACTCTCTGCTTTCACCAATGCAGACACGATGATGTACTTCGTTGTGCGGTGTAACGCAGTTTATGTTTTCTCTAAATCCCGAAACTCGTCCTCTCTCTTCGAGGTAAAAAGCTGCACTTGAACTCACCGAGAGAACTACAGCCGACTGACAACTAAAATGTGCATTCTGCGCGTGCATTTAATGAGCCAACTGTCTATTTCTGCAGATATATTAGTCTATAGTCGTCATTCAAAAAGGAAAACCGACGCTGCCGGCTGCAGATACACATAACGTAACGTTAAACAAAGCAGCGCGTGTTTACCGAATATCAATCAATCCTGCTAAACACTTTCTTTAAATAAGATTATTTTCATCCTACTCAATGAAACGATGTGAAGTTGACAACAGTCCGGCTTGACTTACTGATGCATAAACAGTATCGAACGATTTTGAGAGATAGATTAACTTACCTGTCTCCTAGCCATACAAAACTTTGGGAGTTGAGTCGGCGCATTTCAAGAGAAAATAAAATTAACCCATTGTTTCTTCAGAGGCGCGGATGAAGGAACTAAAAAAATATTTTTGTGTTCATTTGTACATCCGAACACTGAGCAACTGCCATGCTTCGCTCGTTTGCAAGCCATGATATTTCTCGAGGAAAAACTCAAATCTCAAAGCTAGGATAAAAAAAACCCGCGCCTGCACGTGTTCGTACTTCCTGTTCCTAGCTCGTTTGCTCATGGTCGATCTCTGGGCGGGCAAAGCAGAGAAAGGGGAGTAACCTTTCCCCCGTATGACGTATATAGGGGGAGATTCTAGATCAACGCATCTGAGATGCAGACGGATGCAGAGAAGAGAAAAATAGCCAAAGCTCGATTTACACCGATTGAAAAATCTTGACACCAAATACAGTCTAGGGGAACTCATATTAATGTTAAAAAACCTCAGAAAATGAAAATTTCATGTCAGGGGACCTTTAATATAACAGCTTCAAAGGGGTATCAGGCCAAGAGTGCAGAGATGCTGTGCGTGAGTGGTATTTACAACAGTAACATTAAATACAAGTACTCCACAGTGACTCTAGGGGTCGCTGTTTGACAAAAACGGAATTCCTGCATAGTGTGCCTTTAAAAAATTTCTAATTAAAAAAAAATTAAACAAACCCTTCAAACAAATCACTTAAAACTAGCACTACAAATTAATAAAAGAACTCAAATTATACACAGACTTCAGGTTTTTTTATTATTTAAATTTATTTTTAAATTTAATTAAATTTTAATATTGGTTACTAAAAAGTTTTCATGTTTGTTTTCTCTGCACTGTTTTTTGACATCAGCGTGATTCAACAGTGAATGATCTTGCCATTTGATTCTGGTTGAGTTTCAAAAAGCTCAGTTCTCTCAGTGCATCTCAATGACCAAATTTGTTTTTAGGATAAACTGAATCACGATATATGGAGTGAAATGAGACAAATCTTTTCAGTTGCTCATGGTTGCGTTTTAATCACGAAAATACAGTTCATAAATGTTATACAAATACAATTACAATGTTACATTCAATAGAAAAAAATATGTTTAAAATTTCTTGTTAAACTATAAAATTAATTAACATTTTTGGCTTTAATCTATAAATAAATGGAGCTGTTCCAGCATTATCTGAGTGGAACAATTTCCTCCTTCCCACTTCAAGACCGGTGCATGGGAGAGGAGAGAGCAAAATCTTTCAATGTAAATCTATCCAATAAACGTTTTCATTTAACAATTCTGATTTTATTATTCACTTTTTTTGTTTACTATACAGTGGATGTAGCTTGAACAAAGACACTGACAGGTTATGGTAAATGTCAAGTTGTCATAAAGACATCTTAAACAATGTCATATTTGCATTCAAAATGTCATTATTGAGCAAAAGACACTTAATGACAGTTCTCACAAACATGCATAAACCCTACTTCATATTCATAACATATGTCATGTCATGATTATGAAGGTGTCATGTCAGTTTTATTATGCACACTCCTTCAAGTAAAGTGTTACCCCATTTTTTATGACGGAAAATTACATCATAGGGTGCAATCGAATTGTCATGAGATCAGGAATAACAGGAAAAATTTTGTTGATGGGCCTTACGGTTCAAAAGCTATTAGCATAATAAAAGTGAAACTTTGGATAGGTGGTGGCGCTAGAGGGAATGAGTTAGAGACACCAAAATTGGTGTAATTACTGTTGGGACTGTCCTCTATCAGAATGTCAAACCAGAACAACTTTCCCGGAAACGGTTCCTTTTCAAAGAAAGAAGAAAAAGTAGGAATAATAATAAGAACTAGAACAGAAACAACAGGTTCCTCTGCACCTTTGGTGCTTGGCCTCTAATTAACTTTGAAGTTGAAGAAGTGAAAAAGCATATCGGACCCCTTTAACAAATTAAACTGTGAAACCCAAAATTTATTCACCACTTGCATGTTACAAAAGTCTATGCAACTTTCAAATCAGAATCACTGACGTTTAGAGTGAAGGTAATTTTATCTTGGGATATTTAAACTACCGATATCAATTTAATTTCTGTCAGCTGGTAGTTGCGCTCATCGGAGTTCCAGGCTGGGCAGGTGATCTGACCACGACCACTTCGTTGGTTCGCGACTTTAGCTTCTATAAATGTTTAAGTTTCTTCAAACACAAATCTGTTGAGAAAAGACCCCTCAAACTTAGCTTGTATGGAGCGGTCACCCCAAATACATAATAGGTCTACCACCTCACCATCCCTCTCCTGACTGACCTCACAGCTTTCCTCCATGATAAAATAATAATAATAAAAAAAAAACGATAGTACACGCCAGTGCAGAATGATGACTCATGTCGATCAAGAATGACATTGAATGAATGTTGCATGAATTCTGATATGACTCTTCAGACTGCAGTCACACTGTAAAACATCGGACCTGTATTGAATTTAGGACCACATATGGAAGTGGCACAAATCATAATTGAAAAGATCAGATTCCATGTAGTTTGTCACGGTCACGACAAAAATCACATATCACAAAGTCACATGAGCAAAAAATTCAGATTTTGGCCACATTTACCTGCAGTCAGAACGTAGCCTAAGACCGTGTGTCCACCAAAGCGTTTTTAGCTGGCTGAAAACACCAGACGCTCTGCTGAAGACGCCGAGCTTTGGGCGCTTGACAGTGTTTTGTCAGCGCAGCGATTTTTTTTTCATTGAGACGTTTCGTTGCTATGCTACAGAATTTCCGCAGCACAGTTTACTTGTAACTGATTTTGCAGATAATTTGTTTCATACTAAAAAAAATATTTTTCATCCATTTTGTTCGCTTAGCTCTGTTGGTTGATGTCGTTGTACAGAAAGAATGTTGTGACAGTTGGTCAGTGTTGTTTAGTCCCGCCCCTCCTCCACTGTGATTGGATGGCTGGGTAAAAAGTGACAGTGATGAGCACTACGTTTTATCCAAAGTTGAATATCTTTCAACTCCCGGCGACCAGTAAAAATGCTGGGCGCTCGGCGCTTCAGCATGAAAAAAAAAAAACACTCGGCGCCTCGTTACGATCATGGCGTTTAAAAAAAGCGGCGCTCCCATTGACAACAATTGAAAACATACACCAGGCGCGTGGAAAAATGCTTTGGTGGACAAATGGCTTAAGTGTGATGGCAGTATATTTGTGTAATTACACTGACCAAAATTCAATCGTCTGTGAAGGGGATTTTTTAAACAACTCCTTTTCCTGCAATTTCTTCCCAGAATGAGTTTGCAAATGACATTTCAGATCTGCTCGATATTTAAAACTCATCTCACACTGAAGACATATGAAAGCTTCTCTCCAGTGTGAGATCTTAGTTTTCTCTTGAGTGAATCCTCATGTGAGAATTAAGGGTTACTTTTTGTCTGAAACTCTTTCCACAGTGAGGGCATATGAAAGGCTTCTCTCCGGTGTGAACTTTCGTGTGGACTTTAAGACTGTCTTTTTGAATGAAACATTTTCCACACTCTTGGCAAGTGTAAAGGTTCTCTCCAGTGTGAATTCTCATGTGGGATTTAAGGCTATATTTTTGAGTAAAACTTTTTCCACACTGTTGGCAGGGGAATGGTTCCTCTACAGTGTGAATTCTCAAGTGCCTTGTAAGGTTCTCTTTTTCAGTGAAACTTTTTCCACACTGTTGACAGGAAAAAGGCTTCTCTCCAGTGTGAATTCTCATGTGGACTTTGAGGCTGTATTTCCGATAGAAACTCCTTCCACACTCTTGGCAGGAGAAAGGCTTCTCTCCACTGTGAACTCTCATGTGGTCTTTAAGGCTATATTTTCGAGTGAAACTTTTTCCACACTGTTGGCAGGTGAAAGGTTCCACTACAGTGTGAATTCTCATGTGTCTTTTAAGGTTTCCTTTGACAGTGAAACTTTTCCCACACTGTTGGCAGGAGAAAGGCTTCTCTCCAGTGTGAATGCTCATGTGGACTTCAAGGTGTCTATGTTGATTGAAACTCTTTCCACATTCTTGGCAGGCGAAATGACTTCTAGCTCCTGTCTTATGTGGGGAAGTATTTTCAGTCTGTGAGCAAGATTTTTCTCCAGTTATGAAATCATGGTGAATCTCATACATTTCTCCATACAGTTTTTGATTCTCCTCTTTCAGCGCCATCGGTTCTAAGGTGAAAACGTACAAATACAAATGAACCAGTTTAATAGCACAAAGCAACAGACATCAAAACATTTAGACATGTAAGGCATTAACACCAACATAAAGCATCTAAACTAACATGTATGCTACATCCTATACCAATTAATAATAATAATTCATTACATTTATATAGCGCATTTCTCGGCACTCAAAGCGCTTTACAAAGAGGGGGAATCTCCTCAACCACCAGAAGAGGCGTTACCTGAAATCTCAGACCTTCTCAATATTTTCAAGTCTTCACTTTCTTTTACTTGGGAGAACTGGTTAATTATAGACAATCTTGATATTCCCATTCATGTCTTAAGCCCATTCATACCACAGAACCTGTGCTTATTAAAGTTACAAATTAATTGCATTTGGCATCTGATCTCAGCTAAATCTCTCTTCTAGTGTAATTTTAATCTTTTGAAAAACATTACCATTCTCTTAGTTAAATGTCTGAGTGTATTGGAATGGTTCATTCTAGAGGTTGTCTGACATAGATTTTGCAGACCAATTTACCAATTTACACGTCCACTACAGGTAATTGATTTGTTTACCAGAAGCTGGATTAGTAGAGAACATCACTATGTTTGTCGACAAGTCTGACGGGACGTTAAAGGGTTAGTTTACCCAGAAAATTTTAATTCTGTCATTAATTACCCACGTTGTTCAAAACCTGTAAGGCTTTCATTCATCTTTGAAACATAACTGAAGATATTTTTTATTGAATATAACCTGCACTCTTCAGACAGCTACGCAACTACCATGTTGACTCTTTAAATAATTCATAAAAAGATTCTAAAAATAATTCATATGAATGGAGCGCTTTAGTCCAAATTTTTTGAATAGACACGATCACTTTGATGAACTGATTTAATTTAGGCTTTTATTCACATAAAAATTGACAAAAAAATGAAAAGCTGTCTGTCCAGGCTCCGTAAGACTGTGTCAGACTGTGCGCAAGTTCTTCAGTGCGCTCGCATTATTGCAGTGTGAAACCAAACCAAAACTTTCTGAAAATATAAAATATATCAAAACATGAACTTTGGTTCGGACCTTGGTGCGGACTTTCAGGTGAGAAAACGTCCTTACATATTTTTGCTTGCAATTCAGTTAATCTTTGCCTTGTACACCTCACTTGGTTATGATACGCCTGAGTTTAATGTTACACCACTTTACCCCTTGATTCAAACATACTAGAAGCCATCCTAGCTTATTTGACATTTGTTTGTTTCTGCTTCTTTTTCACCTGTTTTGATCTGGAGATTCAGTATTCTTTAAGAAGATGTGTTATCAGCTTTGAGAATGAAACCAACCTGTTTGTTCCTCAGTATCTTCTCTTTTCACTCTGAATGTGTCTTCAATCTTCATTTCTTCACACTCGTCTTTAATGAACGCCATCTTTATAATGTGCCACGTAGATCTCAGCATCTTCACCTGGGGTTTTTCTCGGTGTTTGACATCTTTAAAATGAAAATAATCAACAGATATAAAAATAAATCCTAAATAAAACTTTGGGTGCATCTCAATCAGCTACAGTTAAGTGCACTGGTTTGGTTAGGGTAAGTCAGTTAATGGCCTCAAATGACCTGATTTAGACAAAACCTTTCAAAACCTTCAAATTAATAAAAGAACACAAATTATACAAATACTTCATATTTAGACATGTCAATTATTTCTAGATTACACTGTTAGACCAGCATGTGAACTAATAAAACTAATAAAAAAAACTAAATCCGAACTAATAATAAACGGATTTTCGAGTTTAAATTTTCATGTTTCTTCATTACTAATCGCCAGTGACCAAATTCATGATATGAAACGCACTGCGAAATGAAACGCACCTTTCCTGGTACTACTCATGTGCTTAACGTTAAGTTACAAACAAAATAAAGATAATTAAAGTTAGATAAAGAATTACAATGTTAATTTCAATACCAAGCAATTTTACATCGTTTATATAAATATAAATACCTGAACGGGTTGCATTGATGTAAACACTTATATGCGCAAAATACAAACCTTTCTTCAGCCGATTCAAAACAGAAGTATGAGCTCGGCGCAGTTTATGACGTCATGTCTCCAGACCAAAATAAAAGTCCAGTTCTGCTGTCTAAAACCATAGACTGTAAAAGTCTAAAATCACCAAAGTGCCATACATGTCAACGAAATTTATATTTTAATTCTTGGAGAAATACATATTTAAATACATGTTGTCAAATGTCGTGATGAAAATATTAAGAGCTACAATACAGCTAAAATGAAAGAGGATGCAAAAAAAAAAAAACCTGGTCATCACCTTTTTTTAACATTGGATCGTATTTCTCCAAGAATTCAACTCTAAATTTCTCTGAGATGTATTTTATTATTGCAATTTTTTGGTTTTAGACAGAACCGTTTTGTTTTTGTTTTTTGTTAGTTTGTTTTTTAAGACAGGAACGTGTGAACTGTTCGTTTATTTTTATGAGACGTCATAAGGCTGCGCCACGCTCCTGCGTCTGTTGTGATACTGCTGAAAAAAGGTTTGTATTTTAAGTTTTTACAAACGGTGAACTAAGGAGCTGATTGAAAGGCACACGGATATTTAGATTGGATTCGTTTTTCTTTCTGCTAAATATTCTCATCCTAATCATGTAAAACTGTTCAACCACTCAGAAAAACTCGAGATCCACTTGAGACTTAAACATGGCGTTTATTAAAGAAGAAAATGAAACGAAGATTGAAGAAACATTCACAGTAAAACTAGAAGATACTGAGGACCAAACAAAGATGGTGTGTATTAAAGAGAGTGAAGACATGAAGATTGAAGATACTGAGGAACAAACAATATTAATGGTGTTGATTAAAGAAGAGAGTGAAGAAACGAACATTGAAGAAGCATTCAGAGTGAAACAAGAAACTGAGGAACAAACAAATATGGTGTTTATGGAAGAGGAGAGTGAAGAAACGAATATTGAAGAAGCATTCACAGTCAAACAAGAAGATAAAGAGGAACGAACAAATGTGGTGTTTATTAAAGAGAGTGAAGAAACGAATATTGAAGAAGCATTCACAGTGATACAAGACGACACTGACACACTAGCAGGTTGGTTTCTTTCTCAAAATTGATTACACATATTGTGAAAGAGTAACTCCAGATCAAAATACAGGCAAAAAATAAGCAGAAACAATATCATATGCAAGCAGATGTAAAATATCATCAACATTAAATAGCATATTCAAAACTTTGATAAGCTCTTGCTTTTACACAGAGGATACATTGTCAAATGCAGCTCTCTGACAGAGTTTGTATTGTAATGTTACAGATTTGTAAAGCATTATCTATTGTGAAGGGTCATTTCATTATGGTTGATCTAGCACTGCATGTGCCAGAATTTATTTTCAAGGAAGTACCGATTCTATTAATGTGTAAAGCTACAGTAGCATTGAGTTCCTTTCCATCTAAACTGGTCAGTGTTCAATCAGCTGCTCGTGCTCATCACTTCTCTCAACAGTGGCACCAACATGTCTCGGTTCAGTGAACTGTTGGAGTTACTGGAGTAAAATATAATTCAGGATATTGATTTATTTCGATTCGTAGGCGACTGTCAGGCATGTCTGAAAGTGAGTAACTTTAGTAACTTGTGGATCAGCACTGACGCAAGACGCGAACTGTTTCGAACGATTCAGTTCGATTTAGTGTACTGGTTCGACCGGTTCACTAAAAAGAACCGTTTCAAAAGAACGATTAGTTCATGTCTATGATCACTACAGTCTGCAGAGAGATGGAGGCGGCAAGAGAAAAGGTGAAGACTGGGGAGTGGAAGCTTCGCAAATACACTAATAGAAAGAGTAAAAGTGTGGGAGACATTTGCTGAAATAATGAAATTGATGTCCAAAGTGCTGGCTTTGCCTTTGTTATGTGTAGGCCTAGGTCTTCTTGCGATGCTATGTTGTTACACGTCTATGGCCCAATAACGCTCCGATGAGCATTTACTACTTTTAAAAAATGCGGTCAGGAAGCGGGTCGGGTACAATATTTTTTTACTTTTTTTTGCGGTCCGAGTTGCGGGCGGGTAGCTGAAAACGTCGGTCGGTTGCGGGTTGTTTATACATTGACCCGCGCATCACTGGTAAGTACACATTTATGGCCTAAGACACGAAATGAGCGGTTTGTGTGAGAAAACGAACAGTATTTATATCGTTTTTTATCTCATGTATCCACAGCCATGTCCAACTGATCTGAATCAGTTGTTCAATGTCCACCTGAACCAAACTGAACCATGTCCAACGTTCCGGCAGAAGTGATCGCTTGCGCGTGTGACGTCACTCATTATTTACACAGAGATTTCGGAAGTTTTGCCTCTTACTAAACATATTTAGATATAACGGAATCGTCTTCCATTGGGATTTCATGTTTCTAAATATGTTTAGATCTTCACAGTGAAAGGTAAAACTTCCGAAATCTCTGTGTAAACAATGAGTGACGTCGACGCGCAAGCCATCACTTCCGGCAGAACGTTGGGCATGGTTCAGTTGGGCATTACACAACTGATTCAGATCACTTGGACGTCACTGTGATTACACGAGGTAAAAACGATATAAATACTGTTTGTTTTCTCACACAAACTGCTCGTTTCGTGTCTTAGGCCATCAATGTGTACTTACATTTACGAGTCATTAAATCATGTTTAATTTGGACTTTTCTGTGCATGCTCTTTGAGGTGGTGACCATAGACCTGCATTATATGACTGACGGACAAGAATGCTTTAATTTGGACTTCTCTGCATGCTTTTTGGTGGACCCTTAGCCTCCAGTGTATGACTGATAGACAACAACGGTTTGACTGAAAAATGTCAAAATTGAAAATGCTGTGGAAACAAAGACACCTACATCTTGGATGCCCTTGAAGTAAGCTAAAACATATCAAAAATTAATTTCAAAGTGAACTATCACTTTAATAGTAACCCAAGGATGAGACCTACGCAGGCGCACACACACACACACACACACACACACACACACCTTTACATATATGTTATAACTACATTGATTAATCACCCTTTTAATTTTTGATATTTAGTATTTTTTATCAGATTTCACATTTAGAGTAATTCAAGGATGAGAAGTTGTTTGAACAGAAAACTGTTCTTTGTTACGTATCACCTATCAAATCAAAAGATGTGTTATATTCAAGATGTGTTACATTGTCAATTTGTCTATACCATACATCTTGTCAGATATTGTTACCAGAGATCAGTTATTTATGATGCGTAACAAAGAACAGTTTTCTGTTCAAACAACTTCTCATCCTTGAATTACTCTAAATGTGAAATCTGATACAGAAATCTTGTTTGTTACAGTATTATGTTTACTATTGCACTTTAAAATGTTTTTATTGTGATATAATAAGAATATGTTTTTAAAATAAATTGATGATATTGTTAACATATTCTACTGTCTGTTATGTTTTTATTTGGAAAAAAAAATCAACTTCAGATGCACACAAGAAAAAAGAAATCCATGAATGCCTAATACTAGTTACTTCATGCTGAGAATTACCCTAACTCGGCAAGTCAACCGGCTGGTTGATGTGTGTATCTGCTTCCTGATTGGGTCAATAAAAAATACAGAAAATGTGTTAAATGTGGACTAAGAAACACCATTTTATCAAAAAAAAAAATCATATTTTATTTCTTAGTGTGACTGATGGGTTAAATAGGTAAAATAGTAGAATAGGGAAGAAGTGGTCCACTATTGAGCTATTATACTTGAAGTTTGGTCAAATAGACTACAAATTAAACCTGTAAAGGGCATAAATGACCCCCTAATCTTTGTCATTTGCATTTGCTTCTTGCCACATTCCTCTGTTCTGTTGACATGGGTCTTGAAGACTGCCCGCTGTGCCTTCATGGGTACCACAAGCTCAGCCAGCATCTGAGGGTGACCCATAAGGTCATCAACAGCCAGGAGCGCAAGTTGCTGCTTGCCATTTCCTCGGGGAGGGTTGATGTCCGCAAGGGGACCTGCCCCTTGCCCTCCTGCGGCAAGTCCACCTCCCGCTTGGATCGCCACCTAAAGGACCATACCGAGTTAACAAGGGAGGCCCAGCAGGAGACCATGCAGGCGCTGAAGAGAAAGAAGATTATTCATGACCTCACATACTTGCGGGCAAGCAACCCAGCCGTGCCTATGGCCTCGACCCTGGATCTGGAGGAGGATCAAGATCTGGAGAATGCCCCACCTCCTCCAGAGGAGAGTACCTGTGACAAACCCTGCTGCCAGCATGCTCGCAAACAGCTCCAGGATCAGGTGGCGGAACTCAACAGACAGGTGGACACACTGCGCAGCACCCTCAGAGATGTGAAACGCCGCTACCGCCTATTGAAGAGGAGATCACAGTCCATCCCCTCCACCCAAGTTTCCCAGGTCACAAGAAAACTTCTAACGCCTCTTCGCTCCCCTGAGAAGGAAGTGGAGGCCACAGTGATGGAAAAATCGCTTCGGAGGAAGGTAGTGGTGCACGAGGTGGCCTTAAATCAGGCCAAGGAAGGCTGCCTCATTCCAAAGAGAGATTTAAGAGAGTGCCGCTCCTCTGCCAAGAGGAAGATTCCAGAGATTCTGGGTAAGATTTTGCTTCACCTCACCTCTCAAACTGTGGTGTCCCAAAGAACCCCTTAATGCTTCTCCCTTTCTTTGTGAAGCTTCTCTCAGGAAGTCGGGGGACAAGAAGGACCAGTGGTCATTTTATGGACACCTCACCGCATACTTGGCCTGCATCTATGGCCATCACGTTTGGGTGTTCCAGAACATTACCATAAAGGAGGTGGAGGAAGGCCAGCGGACCGCCAGAGAGGGCAGCTATGTTATCAATGTGAGTGGTTTTATTAATCTCTCTCTGCAGTTCTCTTGCAAAACTCTCCCCAAATGCTTACCCTGCTAGTCACTATTTCCGCAGATATCATCTCACAAGATTAACCCGGCCTTCTGGGATGCCCAGCTGGCATTGGATGCTGAGGAGTATGGGTGGCTGCAGGACTTTTTATCCATGAGGTCCACCTTGGTAGGTGGGAAGAATGCCCACTACTTATTTTTTACATCCAAGGCCAGCTCCTGCAAAAATTTGAACAAGTATTTCCAGGAGGCATGGGCTGGCATGGGTTTGCTTGGGACCCCCACATTCACTGATATCAGGACCTCCATCGCCACCCATGTAGGTGTTTCTGTTCCTGTTTCTGCTGTGTGAGTTTCTGATGTGTTTTTTTTTTAACTCGTCACCTATGCTTTCCTCTCTCTGTACAGGCAAAGAACACCCTCAGCCCCGGAGACTGGTATAAAGTGGCACGATACATGTGCTACGATACCTCCACAGTTGATGGATTTAATGTGCTGAACTTAAATGCAAAGCAGGTGGCAGAACACCACCATCTGTTTGAGTCAGCTGTGGAGTGTGAGGAAACCATACCAGTAAAAAATGTGAAGACCCGGAAGCGCCCCGCTACCTTCAGGCTAAAGAGGGGCAAAAGGCCCTGCAAGCGGGCAGCCAGCCCGTCAACCTCCTTCAGCCCATCACCCTCTGCCACCCTTCTACGGATGAAAGAAGGTCCAGAGTCGAGGGAGTCTGCTTCGGTAAGTCCATCATCTCATTGGTTGGTTTTATCATTTGTGACGAGTAGGCATGTTCGCTGAGTCTTTGCCTTTCTTATTCTTTTCAGGAGGGACAAAGCCAAGCAAAGCGGCAGATCTATTGACTAAAAAGGAAGATAAACCTCATGCTGATAAAAAGTTTTAAAAAAAAACAAGAAAAAAGAACGCATCAATAAGCCCACTTAAATTTGGAAGCGTATCGCACGTGACTACTTGTCTACTGACATGACATATTTCTGTTTTGCCCAAGAGTTTAATTGGGTATGAAGACCTGTATGATTATAGTTAACTTACAGTGCAAAGTTCTTTTAGACATTATGCGAAATTGGGGCCCACAAGTTCCTGAACCTGATGATTGATGGGATACACTTTAGCCTCAAAGATGCCCTGAAGCTGTATTGAAAATAGTGTGTGTTAAGTGTACCATGCTTTGCCATTTTTCAGACCTGGAGAGTGGGTATTTGGACAGGCCCCACATTTGACCCTCCAATGCGGGAATGTTGGTGCTAGTTAGCTTGCCAGCTGTATTAATAGCTAGTTCAAATTGGTTGGAAGATAAAATTAACTGTTAGTTAAAATAGATGGCACATTATAAACATGTTTTGTCACACTTCAGTAGTAATGTGATTCCATCACAACTCTCATTTCAATAAATCAATGCACGGTTTTATAATAATGGAATATGCTTTTATTTAAAACTCATGTAAGCAGTGACAGAATAGGTATTTTGGCATTATTCTGAACATTGTAGAAGCATTCATTTCATAGGTCATTGTAGTTTACTTTGCTGAATCATTAGATTAACATTGTCACTGTTACTATGAAACCGCATCAGTTGCATACAATTTTATTGCTTTTCATGAGATGAGAGCAGTGAAAGTGATGTTACAGAGGGGGTCCAGGCAGAGGTGCAGGTAGATTGTGAGAGAGAGGTGTCAACAGGGATGCAAACAGCGCGCTTTTCGGTGCCTCCCGCTTTTTTCACGTCAGTTTGGGTGACTTGTGTGAATCGTGCAGACCCGAAGAAATTTTTGTGGGGGTGGGGGGTGTCTGATCATAATTTCACCAACAATAATTCTGGATTGCCTCCACCAAACAAGTAAATGGAATTAAGCAAATCAGAACACTACGGGCCAAAACATTAGTATGCACGCAAGCGTGAACCACTTGTGTTTCTTCCACTAACTCGTGGCCTGATTGGAGGTAGCTCGTCAAGGGGCCGTCCGCGAGGATGCGCTCTCAAGTTCGCTATTTAAAATGTAGGCGTGCGGCAAGCGCTCTCATAATTGAAGCGATTTTTTTTCCAGGTGCAGTGAGATGAAAACTTAAACTTTTCAGAATGCCTCAAGCGCATCGCAGTTCATGTGACAAGAACCAACCACAATTGAAAGCTTAGTAAACATGAAGGATGGGGGTGCGCCCAAACGCTACCGGTGTTCTTCTCCATAAATAAATCTTGCTGCAAACCTACAGCAAGCGTTTTTCGATGGTGAAAATCTATTAGCTACTAATTTTTTTTTGTCTTTGTGTTATGTAGAGTGCAGTGCATGGATGCTTAGCAACGACACACGGACCGAATGCAATGCAATGCACGTTCGTGAATCTCCTGTTCGAACTCGTTCATCAAAATGAACAAATCTTTTTCCAAGTCAATTCATTTGTTTCGTTCGTTGAATGAACTAAATGACTCGGAAAAAGATTCGTTCATTTTGATGCAGGAGAGTCACGTCACAAAACAGAGCAAGGCGAGCATTTGAGATTATAAAACTTTAACTTTGTACTTTATTTATTAAATGAGCGATTGTTTCGCTTGATAAGACCCTTATTCATCGTTTGGAATCATTTCAAGCCCTTTGAACAGTTTGCAGTTTGTACTGAAAGTGTCTTGGACCTTGAACCGTTTGGTTACCACTGAAGTGCATTACATGGAGAAAAATGCTGGAATGTTTTCATCAAAAACCTTTTTCTTTTTTTCGACTGAAGAAAGAAAGACATGGACATCTTGGATGACATGGGGGTGAGTAAATTATAAACAAAAGTTTTTTGAAAAGTGAACTACTCCTTTAACCATGGATGTGGTAATGGCTGTTATGTTATTTTCTTTTAAGTGACGTTCCTTGTTACATAGCCTATTAATTTCTGGATTTATTGAAAAACATCAACCAATATTTCATATCCATAATTATTATACTGGATATAATTAAAGAATACTTAACATAAATTAGAAGTGCAACACAAAAAAACAATTGGTACGCCTATTTTAAATTTTACTCAAACAAATATAAATACTTTTTCCCCCTCAACAAATAGGCTACAAATACAGACACCGGCTGCTTTGCACACTCCTAAAGTGCTGTCATGTTTGGGGGGCGTGTATGCTGTTTAAATGAGTGTTCTCACCGATACGAGTTTTGACGAGTAGAATGCAGTGATGACTAGAACGACGCAGCAGAGAAATAGAAAGTTGACAAGCCATTAAAAACTATTGACTTAAGAAACACTTACTGTATATATTTTCAATAAATCATGTTCCCATTCACACTAAATTCTTTTTATAAGGTAACGTTTTTTTTTTTAAATATTTTTAGGCATTATCAATCCTAATGCCAAAATGTTTTATTTGTTCACCAAGTAATTTACTGGTCAGGCATTTTTTGTTAACTCGCAAGACAGCAAGGAGAAAATGACAATTTGATGGATAATTTAAATATATTCTGTAATCACATTTTGGTGAGGTATTAATTCCGGCATAACATCTGAGCGTGAAACGCTGCTTGGATAGTTTCAAGATAATTAATAATACAATAATAATTTATTTAATATGTTTTTATTTTTGTTTATATATATATATATATATATATATATATAATTTTTTTTCTTTTTTACTGATTATGAACAATTGATTTAGCCTGGATGCCATCCCGAACTCCGCCAACAACATTTTTTGGTCGGGAAGTTCGGTCAGGACTCGATCCATTAAGGAGTAATTATGACCAGGCAAAAAATGATCGAGCCAATCAGATTGCCAGGGCGGGCTTTGTATGATGATGGACAGATGATCTGCAGGGACGTAATCATCACCTTATCAAAGAGCGCTAACTGTTAACTGGTTTCTCTCAGAGATGACTGCAGCTGGAGAATTGAGATGTATAGATTCTGCTGCTGTCACGTCTATTTTTAAAATTAATCGACAGCACATTAAATTTAATAGACAAACAGAAAACTGCAATCAAGGCATTTGTCAATCGGAAAGATATTCGGCAAAAGTGTAACTTATCAGCTGGCTCTGACGGTCGCTAAGTTAAGAAGATGAGACGTAATGAAAAGCCTGTGGTCATTGTGGTTTCTCCTTTGGTCGCACTCATGAAGGACCAAGTGAAAGAAGCAACACTTGTTATTTTACTTCTAAAATAATTAAGTTCTGTTGTTGACAACTATGCTATGCAAAGTATTTGACTTACTGCCTTGCTCAGATTGGTTGTAGGTCTGTCCGACTATCCAATTGAGTGCAGAGTTTTTTTTTTTTCCTGGTTTGGTTAAGACACGCCTCATAATCAAAGCCCAATTCTCACTAGAATATGAGTATGACGAAGTCAGGCTACAATTGATTATGAATCACGTCAAACCAAATTAATTGTAATTGTATATATACCATTGATGAAAACCAGCTGATACCAAGGCATTTTAAGCCTACAGTGATGTGAATAAGTTTGGACACCCATGCTAAAGTTGCCTAAAAAGAGGAATAAAAAAATCATCTTTTGGATATTGATCTTAATGCCTTCATTAGAAAAATGAGGAAAACTCCAACCTTTAAGGACACAAATTTTCTTTGTGAATGAATAATGTATCATAAATAAATAAATGTTTTTCCTTAAAATACAGGGTGCATAAGTCAGGACACCCCTATGTTAAATTCCCATAGAGTCAGGCAGATTTGTATTTTTAAAAGCCAGTAATTTCATTGATCCAGGATAATATGCATCCTGATAAAGTTCCCTTGGCCTTTGGAATTAAAATATCCCCACATCATCACACACCTTCCACCACACCTAGAGATTGGCATGGGGTACTTTCCATTAGATCATCTTTCAATGCAAATCAAACCAGCTATTAGGCTAACTGAAGTAAAACCATGTTTTACTCATCAATCTCTAGGCATGGTGAATGGTGTGTGATGATGTGGGGATATTTTAATTCCAAAGGTCAAGGGAACTTTATTTGGGAATTTAACATAGGGGTGTCCTGACTTATGCACCCTGTATTTTTAGGAAAAACATTTATTTATTTATTTATTTATGATACATTATTCATTCACAAAGAAAATTTGTGTCCTTAAAGGTTGGAGTTTTCCTCATTTTTCTAATTAAGGCATTAAGATCAATATCCAAAAGATTATTTTTTTTATTCCTCTTTTTAAGCAACTTTAGCATGGGTGTCCAAACTTATTCACATCACTATAGAATTCTAACATAATTTTTCATGAAAAATCAGGATTGTATTTTTTTTTTTTTTTTTTTAGTAATAAAACCTGCAAACATTACCGCTATACTATAATTACTGTGGAGTTTAATAGGCTCTGTGCGCCAGTGTAGTGACAAACTTCTGCTTTGTGTAGATGTCGGCATTCTAGTTTCTGGTTTACTTCCTGTTTTCAACCGCTACTGTAAAAATAACAGGACCATGAGTTGTCCCTTATACAGAAAAAGAAGTACAATGTGCGTGACTCATTTAAGTTGCAAAGAACTGTGTGTGGGTCGAAGGAGCACTGCTGTGTGCCACTTTGCTCGGCTTCAGGTCTGTATAACAGCCATTTGAGCTTCCACCGTTTCCCGAAAGACGGTAGCCTTCGTTTACTGTGGCTGCACAAAATAAGGAGGGTGGGATTTTCGGTTACCCCCCACACCAAGGTTTGCATCCAGCACTTTCTTGAGAATGAAGAGGTTGTCAATCTGGGCCTTATCAACTGATGCCATTCATCGCATGAACTTTGTGTTCTGGTAGCACATTCCAGTTTATGCACCATGTCCCAGGTGACCTCGAGACTCTTATTGTGCAGCTAATGTTGTTCAGTAAAGACAAACACGCAACTGAATGGCTGCAAGTGGTAATGCTGAAGAGGCACAGATGGACGTGGTGGGGCAGCATGGAAGGACAGGTGTCTCTTTGCTGTAGCTGGTTGTTGGTAGGACTAAAATTTGCCAAGGGCAGAGTCGACCAGGGGAATTTCACAGCTGATGCCCATGCTGCAGATCATCGGCACCTCAGCTGCAGAGAAATCTTTGTATACCTCAGTCACCTAGGAATGTAATAATATATCACATTGTACATGAGTACATTAAATCAAAAGGGAAGGAAAAAATCTGAAATATACAGTTTAAATAAAGATATTTATTTATATGATATCTTACTGAACTGGGAAATCTGATATTGTTAAATCATTACTTACCCAAAGGACAGAAAGATCAGGCAAGTCCCCACTAAGGCCTTTGTAGAGTGTGCTCCTGTGTGGATAAAATGTACATGAGTGGAAAGTGGAAGATCCACAAAGGTATTCCAATGCAAAGATATGTGTTGCAAAAAATCTACAATATTCAGCTTTTACCTTACACCCTCAGTTGTTGCTCTACACTTTGGTTTAGCAGACAGCACTGTCCTCTTGTCCACAGGGCCTGGTGAGGCAGCCTCACGCTAGAAGCGGCCTTGCTGATGACCAGCCGCCAAGTGTTTGTACCTGATTGTGGATTCTAGGGGAAAGGTTTGGAGGATGGATTCAATCGATGCATCAAGAAGAGGTTTTAGTGGGTAATTTATGGGAAGATCTGCTATGCATAGTGAGGAACTGGGGTTGGGTATGCCTTTGGAGCTAGCAGCCTGAATTCCTGATCAAATCTGTGCTCTGATGTTGCTGCAGCAGGGGGCGGTTCCAAAGCAATGGCATTCGGTGGTATTGGCATCTGTGTTGCTGAGAAGAGGGAAAATTACGATCTAGTCTGGGGAAGAGAGTTACGAGCTGAAGGGCAAAAGTTGTTTGTGGTGGCAGCATAATGCTTGGGTCGGCCCCAGGGGCTTGGTTGTAAAGGGAAAGGCAAAGGAAGAGGAAAGCTGGGGTGGACAATAGGCAATCGGAGCTTGCACCACTAGCTGAGGTAGCCTCACGCTAGGAGTGCCCTTGCAGGGTTAAAAGCATTGTGAAGTTTAAGTGGCAGAGCAAAGATTGCAGTTCACGTTTAGAACCGTTTAGACTGTCTAGGAAGGTGGATGTGATAATAAGTATCTTATCTCTATTTCCTTGTGCAGTGACTTGACAAAAAGCTGCATCCCTCCCAAACAGGCCCCACTCTTTTCCTCCCTCTGCTCAGCCACACACCATGGCTTTTCTAGTGGGCTTTTGCTAGTGGAGCAAGTTGAGCTGTTTCGGCCTCTCTATCCCACCATCTCTAACCTACTGGCACCATTGTCCTTAGCCTGCAGCTCCTAGCGGAAGGCTGGCCCAAACAACACTTCCTTCTCCTTTTCCTCCGGCTGACATTAAGTTTTTTCCCCACCAGTGACCAACCGCAGACCTTAGTGTGAGGCTCCATCTGCTAGCGGCGCAGGCCCAGTCAGCCTATTTTCCACCCCAGCTTTCCTCTTTCCATGGGCTGAATCCAAAAACACCTCCTATACCCCTCAAACAGGGTGTTATTTGAGGGGACAGCCATATGTAGTGGTGTCCAAAACCAGAGTGGACATTGAGTGCACTCATTCAATCCCATATTGCACTGCAATAATGAGTGTACAACCGATTCATTATTGCCTTTCATTCACAGTATAGTGGACTAATGTAGGGAATAGTGAATGAGGGTTTAGGGGGCGATTTCAAGAACGAGGCCCTGGACTTGCTTCCACTGAACTCTTTTACCTAGGCTATATTGACTTTGTTCTTGTTTTGTGGCAAGGGCATCTTGGGCACAGATGCCCTTGCCACAGCACACCATTGCCTTGGAACTGCCCCCTGTCACCAGCAACATCAGAGCTCTGATTTTATCTGAATCAAGTTGCAACAAAATATTTTTCAGTGACCTTAAATCCAGCTAATACCCCATACCGTCCGTATCTTTTCCTCCTAAGAATTCTGCATCGCATCCAGTCGATACACTGAAATCATCTGTACTGCTTTTCCCCATATGAAGCGTGAGTTAAATACCTGTCTTGTGATACTAGCAGAGCTTGCTTTATCCTATGGAGGGACACATTTTTTCTTCCAAGCCTGTGGAAACATCTCATGTGCAGTATGTAGATTGGCCGCCCATTCAACCATAGCTTGTCTCAATTCCTCCATGTCCTCAGCCAAACCAAACTAAATCAACCATTTTATGTATCTCATCCGCCAACTGCCAAATTCGACAGATTCCAGAAGATCTGCTGTTTTTTCTTCCAACAGACTCTGCAATCATTTTAACAGAGGAAAATGCACAAGACAGTGTTGTTATTTTTTTGCTTATGCCCACCCACTGCCTTATCTCCCTCGAATCCTTTGTCTTCATGTTAAAGATCAAATCTCTCTTAACTAAGTTGTGCCACGACAAGGTTAAATTATGGTTAACCTTCCTTATCCAGTGGAACAGTTCCTGCTTTCACACCCCCGCAATGATGCCAATTCTAAGACTCCTTATTTGGAATCACAGCTTGCGATCAATTCATTATAAGCAGTGTAGTATTTTCTGTTATTCTGGCCACAGCCGATGGTGTTATGAGTGTAATAAAATGCCCACAGCCCAGTGTTCATTTTTAAACACAAACACAGCCCGCCTCAGTGCAGGGCTCGCACTAATAAAATCGACTCATGTCAAATATAACGTTACATTAAATGTAGTGAACTTGCCCACGACTCAGTAGTATCCACAAACACTAACATTACATACACATGTCCCACGGTTTCTGTAATAATAAACCAACACATATACAGTCAGCTCAGGCCGACGGCGTTTTCAGTGCAGTGAATGTGTCCGCTGTCCCGTGCCCACATTCACTCACAGACATGATAAGCCCCATAGGGCTCACCCCGCTCGCTCTCTCAGCGGACTGCTATAAGGCAATCGAGCGCAGCAAGGACCCCCGGCCCGCCTCAAACACTGCAAGAACACACAATCTAAAGACACGGGAGGCTGACTGGTTGACTGTTTGTTGACTTTCATTTGTGACAGTGCTGCAGAGCTTGTGGTCTCTAGGGACATCACAACAAATCTAGACGTGAAAGTTACAGGTTGAGCGCCCCTAGTGGCCAAAAATTCCACAATGTGGCTTTGACAGTAAAGTCAATCTAGGCCAGGTTTTTATAATTTAATGGTATGATCCATTTCAGAGGCTGCAAAAATTACATTTTAAAATCAGTCAGAGCTATAGAAATGCTTCACGTTACAAGTAGGTTACTTTCTACAAACACCCTCACGCTTTCTTTAGGGGGGTTAGGACCCTCCATGCCCATAATTCACACCCTGATCTGCACAACTCGTTCAGGCTCTTGTCATTTTTAGACTGGACTATTGAAACGCCCTTCCAACATGTGCAATGAAACCTCTACAAATAATTCAAAACAGCAGCACAACTGGTCTTTAACAAGCCCAAGAAAGGCCAGTACCAGTCACACCTCTCTTCATCAATCTATAGATGGTTCCCAATTCCAGTCCAGGCATCCCAATGCAATACACTTTCATGTTGTTTTTCTTATCTGACACAATTTATTCAGTTCAAGAACTTCTTTCCTACTGAGTGATTATCTACAGTAAATCATATGTGTAAGATAGGAGAAACTGCTAAGTGAGCAGAACTGTGGGTTTTTATAGGAAGTTGCTTCAAGGTGTAAACACTGTGAAATAGGGCTTCTTCATTTTCACACACAAGATTTCACAAGATCACATGGATTGTGGTTAAAGATGCATGGTTATTTTACTGCATGGTTATGTTTAACATTTTACTACTCACCAGCTCTTACCTCAGTGCATCTGTCATTTATATTTGTAGAGTACTGTTGAAAGAATTTTTTAACATGATTTGGTTCTGTTGGTGTCTTTGGTGTCTGGTTGGTGAGTTTTAAATATTTCTTTTATAACTTTAGTCTTTCTGCAATGGAGTCAGTGTTTGTTTTTCCTCAGTGTCCTTTTATACAACTACACTGAAGCTTAAATACCAGCAGCATTAGTTGTAGTTGGAGACGTAATTCTCATCCATATAACCGATTTTCTTAAGAAAAGTGTATGATGTTTGGAGTTCAAATGAAGTTCAGTTCAGTGAATGAGTGAAAATCACTACAAAGATACAATTATTAATCCCCACACTATTTTTCTCCTTTGGGTATAGCCATTCTGTTGTTTTATTATACGTATTATTTATTTCAAATGTAGACGTAGACTTATTTACTTCAGTAAACCATTGTGAAGTCTCACTCTGTTTTTCTTTTTGTGTTTCAGGAGTTGAGATGAAGCCAGTGTCAGTGATGGAGGGAGACTCTGTCACTTTACACACTGATAGAGAAATGAGGAATAATGATCTGATTGTGTGGAGATTTGGACCTGAAAACACTTTAATAGCTGAAATCCTTGTAGCGGACAGCAGTGTGACTGTAAATGATCATTATGATGAGAGATTCAGAGGCAGAATGAAGGTGGATTATCAAACTGGATGTCTGACCATCGCAAACATTGGAATTGAGCATGCTGGACGTTATGAACTACAGATCGACGGTCTGAAGAAGTTTTTCTTCGTCATTTTAAATGGTGAGTTAAATATCAGTTTCATATATTATTCCTTTTTTTAGTATGTTATTTCAAACGATTTACTTTAGTGAATGTGGTTTTCAAATTAATTAACCAATCAGTAAAACCATTGATCAGCTCTACCAAACGTGGATATTTTTCCACTAAGAAATTAATTATTATGTTTTGATGCAATCTGTATTGTGAAAAGCGCTATATAAATATACTTGACTATTTGTTTACCATCTTAAAGGTATTTGAAAGACTTGTTCTGTGACAACCCCTGTTTCTGTTTGTTCTTTAGGTGTATTTTCTGATCAAGATGAGAGGAAGTTATTGTCAGTGATGGAGGGAGACTCTGTCAATTTATACAGTGATAGTGAAATGGAGGATGGTGATGATCTGATTCAGTGGAGTTTTGGAAACTATTTAATAGTTCAAATCAATGAAACGGCTGACAAAATTACTGTATATGATGATGTCCTTGAAGGAAGATTCAGAGACAGACTGCAGGTGGATCCTCAAACTGGATCTCTGAACATCACAAACACCAGAAGTGAACACACTGGATTTTATCAACTGCAGACCAATCGTGTGAAGAAGGTTTTCATCCTCAGTGTCTATTGTGAGTTTAATAAGTTGATTTTTACAGCTTTAAAGTGGATTTAAATATGTATTGTTATATAAAATAACATAAAAGATAACATACTTCTTTAACATTAAATTGTCTAATAGATTTCCAGGTCTATAATTGACTTCTATATCATCTAACTTCTATTATATTTATCATCTATGTTTTATAGAAACTCTACTTTTGATCAGTCTTGGTTTCTCTGAATGTTTCTTTCTCATCTAATTTGATATCTCCATTTATCTTTATTCTCGGTTTTTTTCAAGCACCTCTGCCTGTTCCTGCCATCTTCTGTTACTGTCCTTCAACTCCATCATCATCAGTGTCCAGACATGTGCTGCTGTGTTCAGTTTTGAATGTGAGTCAAGCGACTCTCTCCTGGTTCAAAGGAAACAGTTTAATCTCCAGCACTGCTGTGCCTGATTTCAGCATCAGTCTCTCTCTGCCTCTGGAGGTGGAGTATCAGGATAAAAACACCTACAGCTGTGTGCTGAACAATTCATACACTGCCAAGACTAAACACCTTGACATCAGTCAAGTCTGTCGCACATGTTCAGGTACGGCAGCGCTGATGTGATATAAGAATATTTATCACTAAGCTGATCTCAGTTTCATGCTTTTACTCCACAGACTCTGATGCTGTTGAAGCTGTGATCCGATTGGTTGTTACTGCTCTGGTGGGTGTGGCTGCTTCAGCTGCTATTGTTGTGCTGGTTTATGACATCAGATCCAGAAGAGCTGAACAGGTTCGAGAACAAATGTCCTCATCCGTAACCTAAATCATAATGTAATTTCTGGATCTTATTTTTTTATTTTTTTTATGGCTTGATACAGGTGGTTCTCAACCAGGGGTGCGTTTCCTATACAATGACGGAACTCACTAGCACTGCTTAACTACTTAATACGATGCATAATTGAGGAAATCATCTAGCTAGTCAGAACTGTTTTACGAAACCATATTGTCGTAAATTGATCGTATAACAACGTTGGTTAATGATGTCACGCAGTTGGTTTAGTAATAACTACTTTTAAAGAATCTGTTTGAGATCGAATTAATGCTTGAGGTTTTGCTATAAATTACAGACATGACATCGGAGAACTATTTCTTACTTTTCCCAGTTATTTTGCTTTATTTCCAGATTCAGTCTAGGCTTATTCTTATGTACTCTTCAAAAACTACGCTTTAAATCTCTTGACAAACTAAAAAACGTAAGATGACATTTGTATGTATTCTAAATAAAAGTTATAGATTGTACTGAATGTCAGCTTGCTTATTTTGCTCAAGTTAAGGATTTATTAAGTCCACATGTCATGCAAACAATCAGAAAATTATGCTGCTAACCACAGGTCGTAAGCTGACACAGCTCTTGTTGCACATGTCTAACATTGATGCCCTAACTCGCTACCAGCAGGTAGTAAATAATCTGTCCCAAACTTTTCTTGAGCTCTCTTTGGAACTCAACATTACAAAAACGAAGGAGCTATGTTTTGGTGGCAGAGACAAGGCATCACCTCTGTCCCAGACACTTAGCATCCAGGGTCAGCCAATGGAACAAGTGCAGGTATTCAGGTACCTGAACACCAAAATAGACACTTCTATATTGTCATCAATCTATAATCCATTGAAGTTAATATACATTCTGTACATACACTATATTGCCAAAAGTATTGGGACACCCCTCCAAATCATTGAATTCCGGTGTTCCAATCACTTCCATAGCCACAGTTGTATAAATCAAGCACTTAGGCATGCAGACTGTTTCTACAAACATTTGTTAAAGAATGGGTCGCTCAGAGGAGCTCTGTGAATTTGAGCATTTTACCATTATAGGTTGCCACCTGCGCAATAAGTCCATAATTTAGTTTCTGAAGTCATAATTTAGCACAAGTAAAATTGAAAAAATGGAGAAAATGGAAACTATCCATTGATAATGTAACTGGAAAAACAAGAAAAATGAATGTCTGGTTTCCATTTCTCATTTTTGCATTTGCATTGTGTGGTCCGAAAATTTAATTGTGAAGCGTTACACGGGCCGTGAAGCACTGCAGAATTTACAAGAAGCTGTAGCCTTCTTCAGGATGTTGTATTGCAAATAATATATTCTTTATGATTTTTTGTAGCTGAATTTTATTACTAAAGAATTTGCAGACATCTTCTCCCACTCCCAGACAACCACAGGTCACTTTCTTGGGAGTGCGAGTGAACGGGGTTGGGTGACAGGCAGCGATAACAAAAATACATAATTAGCAATGACCAATGAGTCATGCTATTGGTTGGATTTGAATTAGTACGTTTTACATACAATTTAAGCAAGGATGTTAACAAAAAAATTAATCCATATACTGGCAAATTAGTGATATTTTCATTTTTTACAGTTATGGTCTTGTCTGGTCTTGAAAAAAATCCAGAGTCCTCAATGTCTGAGACCGAGACAAGGCCGAGACCATCAAAAAGTCCATCAAAAAGTCATGACCAGTCTCAGGTACTTCAACACTAGTACTAACAATAGGAAAGTATGTAGCAAGATCAAAGATTGAAGTAACTTTGATGTGTGAGCTGCAAACACAGACAATTGAGCGTGGATGTAATGTTTTTAATAAATGAAACTACGGATACATTGAAGTAAACTTGAGCAAAGAATATATATATATATATATACAGTACATATACACACTGGTTATTGGTTTGATAATCTTGCATTGGATAACAGATAATCCATAAATCCAGCTGTGTAAAACGTTATAAATCATACACACACGCAAAAAAAAGACTTGAGGCTGTAATGGCTGCAGAAATGTGCTTCAACAAAGTTAAGGGTCTGAATATACTTGTCAATGGGGTTTGAATGGTAGTGGTTAAAAATGAGAGAGAAAACAAATGTAATGCATTATAGCATAAGAAAATGGGTCTGAATACGATCAGAGAGCCATGCAGATGTATTTGTTCAATACACTGATATCAAAGTATTATACTGAATCAAATATATTAGTGACAACTTCTAAACAATGGTTATTATAGGATGTGAGCATAGCTTCGATTTTACACAGATGCATGTTTTCTGGTGCCATTTTAAATTGCAGAGCCATCTAAAACGCTTTCCACAATAAAAACAACAACAGGGTCTCACATCTGTATGACTTGTCATATGCATCTTTAAGTGTAATGGCAAAAGAAAGGTTTTTTTACACTGATCACAATTAAATCGCTTTCCTCCAGAGTGAATGTGCAGGCGATTACTTAAATTGCTCCTATTTGTTAACCTCTTGTCATCCTCAGAACATTGCAATTTCTTTCCAGAATGAGTTTGTAAATGACTTTTCAAGTCTCTTTGATATGTAAAAACTCTTTGCACACCGCTGACACTTGTAAGGCTTCTCTCCAGTGTGAACCCTCATGTGAATCTTAAGATTTCCTTTTAGTGTGAAACTCCTCCCACAAAGATCACACATGAACGGCTTCTCACCGATGTGAATTTTTACATGATTAGTAAGTTGTTTCTTGTCTATGAAAATCCTTCCACACCGATGGCATTTAAAACAGTTCTCTCTTGAGTGAATCTTCATGTGCTCGTTGAGAATTACTGTAAATCTGAAACTTTTTCCACACTGACTGCATACAAACGGCTTCTCTCCAGTGTGAATTCTCATGTGGGCACTAAGGGTTGGTTTATGTGTAAAACTCTTGCCACACTGAGTGCAGGTAAAAGGCTTTTCTCCAGTGTGAATTCTCATGTGGGCAGTGAGGGTTGGTTTATGTTTAAAACCCTTTCCACAGTAGAGGGCATGTAAAAGGCCTCTCTCCAGTGTGAATTCTCATGTGGACTTTAAGGCTTTCTTTTTGAGTGAAACTTTTCCCACACTGTTGACAGGTATAAGGGTACTCTCCTATGTGAATTCTCATGTGGACTTTAAGGCTTCCTTTTTGAGTGTAACTTTTCCCACAGTGTTGGCAGGTGAATTGACTCTCTCTAGAGTGTATTTTCATATGGAATTTCAGGTTTCCTTTTTGAGTGAAACTTTTCCCACATTCTTAGCAGGAGAAAGGTCTCTCTCCTGTGTGAACTCTCATGTGACTTTTAAGGCTTTCATTTTGAGTGAAACTCTTTCCACATTGTTTGCAGGTGAAATTACTTCTAGCTCCTGTCTTTTGAGCTCCTTTTTGTGAAGTCTTTTTAGTTTGTGAGCAACTAAAAGATTTTTCTCCAGTTTTGAAATCAAGATGTTTCTCATTCTGAATTTTCTCTTCCTTTTCATTAAGTTCTTCACTCTCTTCTTCCAGTGCCATCAGGTCTAAGGTAAAAAAACCAACAAAAAACAGTTTAAAGGTAAAAAGCGACAAACATCTCAAATTTTAGACTTGTAAAGTATCAAAAACAACAACATATACACTGAATAAAATTATAAACACAAAACTTTTGTTTTTGCCCCATTTTTCATGGGCTGGACTGAAAGATCTAAGATTTTTTTCTATGTACACAAAAGGACAAAATATTTCTGTCAAATATTGTTCACAAATCAGTCTTAACTGTGTTAGTGAGCACTTCTCCTTTGCCGAGATAATACATCCACCTCACAGGTGTGGCATAGCAAGATGCTGATTAGACAGTATGATTATTTCTCTTAGGCTGGCCACAATAAAAGGCCACTCTAAAATGTGTAGTTTCTCCGGAATGGAGAAGGCTATATAAAAGTTACTATTTGCCGGCTTTTGGCATTTAATCTAATCTCTTTTCTAGTGCTATTTGATCTTTTGACAACAGACCACAAAATTCACTGAGATGTATGATGACTTGAGAATTATATTGTCATTTGTGGACAAGCATTATCATGGTTCAGGTCCTTGTAACATTTTGTTTTGAGATGTTTATCTAAGATGCAGCAATCTCCATTTTAACCAAAATCAAAAAGAGGATTCAAGGACAAACACAAACGTGACAGCTTTATAGAACCAAACAAAGACAACAACTAACAGAGAACTGAGGAAACAAAGGACCATGGTTATGTCAGTGGAGCTGAAAGGATGATAGATCGGAAGGATGTGGAGGAGCCAGGGAACTGGACGGAACCACTGGAGACAAGGACTGGATAGAACCAACAAAGGCGGCGAAGCCAGAAGACTGGACGGAACCAGCAGGATGGAAATGGCCGTCAGGTTCTAGCCCTGGGACATTGGCACCGTCTCTGGATCCGTGGCAGGTAGAGGTATTGGCTCTGGGTCTAGATCCTCCTCATCCACAGTCCAAGGAGATCTAACTGCTTTCTAGGCCAATTCATAAAAACTGGGCCAGCATCCCACAATGGTTTTTAATAAAACAGAGATTTCAGCGGTTCCTTCAGTCCAAAATTTAAAAGGCAATCAGGAAATTATCTGAGAAAAGTACCTGGTTGGCTACACTAAGGAATACGCTGATGTGATCCTTGAGGGAGTGATCTTCCTTGGTGAGGAGGATTAGATAGACTGCTATAATAATTTGTTACATTTATATAGCACTTTTCTGGGTACTCAAAGCGCTTTACATGGAAGGGGGAATCCCCTCACTCACCACTAATATGCAGCATCCACGTGGTTGATGCGACGGCAGCCATATTGCGCCAAAATGAGGAGAAAGTAATGAAGCCAATCAGTATATTGAGATGATAAGGAGGCCGTGATGGACAGACCCCAAGGGGCAAATTTGTGGGGAGATATAAAAGGGGATTCGGTGAGAATTATTCTTATTAACAGAGGGGCTGCCGCTTTCCATAACCGAAGCTCAAAATATACTTCTTCCGTAAGGGATAGCGGTCTGGGTGGCAAGACTCGCTCCCTTACAAATGATTTATTAAACACTCGCTTACCAAACGGCCAGATTGTGTCACGAGAGTGGCTTTTATACTCTCCATCAACGGGACAGGTGTTCTGCTATTCTTGCAAACTTTTCTCGTCCAAAAGACACACCTTTACAGATGGATTCAGTGACTGGAAGCACCCAGAACGGATTTCTGAACATGAGAGGAGCCCAGGCCATATGTCCAGTATGCTAGCCTTATTACATAGATCTAAAAACACTCAGGCGATTGACTCAGCTCTGGTCAAACAAATTGCTGGAGAGAAGGAATACTGGAAAGAGGTACTGAAACGTGTGGTGGCAGTAATAAAATTTTTAGCCGAAAGGGGACTGGCTTTCAGGGGGGAGGATGAACTCCTAGGTTCGCCTCACAATGGAAACTGTCTAGGAATTTTAGAGCTGATATCTCAGTTTGACCCGTTTCTAT